CCTGCACGTGTTAAAAGTGAAGTTCCTGTCAAGTAACGTGGGTGTAACGTCATTGTATGAAATTTGTGAATAGAACTTAACAGGTTCTGAAGTGGACTGAGCAAGTCTGTTCAGCCAACTAACATTTAGAGAAATGCGACCAAAGGCAAAGGGCTTCCAACACTGTTGCCACAAGGAAACCGATCCAGATGTAGGAACCTGACTAATCTCATCACAGCAGAATCAAAAAGTTGAGCCATGAAGTTCAGCATGCGATCCCCCTGCTGGCAGATATTTTTATTAGCATATATATTCTGCATAATTGAGTTTTTCCACTTCAAAAATGTTTTCAGCATAGTCTAAGGGTGGGACGCTCTGTGGGAATCAAAATTAGCCGGATAACAACATTCGCACGTGGTGTGTCAGATATCCTGACCATCCATCTGCTGGTTGTTTACTCAGGCGGGAATGGCAAACTCAAAGTTACTGATTAATTGCTGACGATCATTTAATTATCGCGAATTATGCTGGAGCTCTCCATGGTGACAAAAGTCAATAAGCCGAAACAAATCGAGAACCAGAGAGAGCATAACTTGCTTTGCTTTTATTTGTATTTTTTTTTATTTATTTTTTGTGTGTTTTCAGCATTTGCATCATCTTTGTGTGCTTTAGCGTCACTGCTAACCCACAGGAGATTCGGCGCGGAACCACGGAGACAGCGGCGCGGTAAGCGTCAGGTATTTCCATCCCGAAACAATCTGTGAGCAAAACATGAGCGACACGCGGAACTTAAAATGTCAAACGTTCTGCAGGTTGAAACGCCGGGCTGCATTTTTATCCAACCCTCTTTACTCTTCCGCCCTTCATATAAATCAGTATAAATACAGCTGTTCTACACTAAACAAACAGTCACGCCCTTAGCATCAGATAAAAAGCACATCGCGTGGAGATGGCCAAGTCAAAGTCCAAACCAAAATCCAAGTGATGAGCAGTAACTGGACTGTAAAATTAATGTACACTTTATATCACTTCGTCTGTCACATACAATCCTGAAGAACTACTTTACAGAGGTGAATACATTTTTGTTGAGTGGTGTGATAAGAATTATCTGGCCGTCTTTAACGTCACACCGCTCATGTTAGCATCAGTGGTTAGCACCGAACCCCACAGGGAGGACAGACAGGGTTTGTTTAAATCAATTTTACGTATATTTGTTTTCTGTCTGTCTGAGTCCATGCCAAATTTCCCCTCAGGAACAATGAAGTATATTCTATTGTCTTCTATCAACGGAAAAAGACAATGCAGCCTCTTTAAAAGCACTTTAAAACGAGGAGTGAGTGCAGAGAAATGATCCAATCTTGACTTGATGGTCCTCAGAGGTACCGCAGTAGGTTAGCAACGTCGTTCAGAAGCTGCTAACGTCTGGACGACTGTGAGGTCGTGTTGACCTCACGGCATCACGAGGTCAGCGCACGAACCACAACAAGGCAATTAAGTCCTTCAAATGGCTGACCACCAGCCCACTGGCACTCAAGACCAGATTGCAGTGCCACAGGATCCCTGTTGTTTTCTAAGAGATGTGCGTCAGTGCATCTGCCTTTGACCCCTTCAAACAAACACACACACACACACACACACACACACACACACACACCCACACACACACACGCACACACACACACACTCACTGACTTAAAAATGGACATCAGAAAGATCCGTGATGAAAGCACCGTAAGTAATTGGTAATTGAATCTTTGCTCCTGTATCTTGTCTCTGTTCTCATGTGAAGCAGTAAAAGATCAGAAAGGCAAGACACACAGATCATCCGTACTCATAAACATACTGTCCTCCCTCCCACTGCTGCGCCACTGCCATTAATCCAGGATTAAATTGCGCAGACTCCATGGATTAGAAGCCACCACTGGGGAAGCTGTAGTGAGTAATGAGTTATCCGTGCAAGAAGGGCAAGTCAGGCGCAAAGAAGCCCTGGAACTCACAAAAACGAGTCACCAAGCGATAACCTGAGTCAGACTGAATGGTGGAGCAGTTGGTGTCAAGCAGAAAAGAGGTTCTGGGTTCGAATCCTTGCCTGGTCTCTCCCAGTGGGTTCAGTTTTCTCCCAGAAACAAGTGACAGCCTTCGCCTGAGCCGTGAAGCCAGACTGGAAAGGAAGCTGCTCTGTTTCAAAACAGTTTGTTTCGTGCTAAATGTTTCATGCTCAAGTTCGTAGGGCAGTCAGTTCATGCTTACCGGCGTGATCTGAGGGGATTTGGAATCCCACTGTAAATACATGAGAGCAAAGGTCCTTCAGAACAAAACGCCATAGATTGAATGCAGCAGCAGAGCGGTTTGGTAAAGTCAGAGATGTTGCATGGAGTCTTTGAAGGCAGTTTGTACTGAGTTCAGTCATTCACCGCAGTGACGTCCAGAAAAGCGTTGATGAAACCACTGTTTTATAGTTTGGCAAAAAAAAAAAAAAAAAACTGGTCTGATGTGTTTTCAAGTGTTTTCTATTGCTTTGCAAGCTAAAATTTACTTTACACTGCATTGTGTTACATTTACTGTTTTCACACCAACAAATCCTATGTTTGTTCCCAGTTTGGGTCCATGTAGACACATAGGTCCAAGTGTCTACGTGGACACTTGAAAAGTGTTGAACTCAAACCTGACAGTTCATTTGGACCTGCTGGGTTGGCTGTGCAGACGGGCGAAAATGTTCAGGTCCCTGACTCGGCGTGAGGACTCAGCAGAGGATCGCACCCTGTTCCACCGCGCTGAGTGGAGATCGCATTCCTCCGAATTATCGAAGGTCGCACTGTTTTAGGAGACACTCCTGATTGGAACTTCTCCTGCCTCATCAGGTCTGTGGGTACTGAGCAATTTGTCACTCCTCTTTCAGTCCTTCTGTGACGATCATGGCATGTTTACAGCGGCTCACTGCTTTTCCAGAGTTTAATCGAGGGCCAGTTCTGTAAAGTGTAAATGTCGCCACCGGAGAAACAGACGTGGCGTTTCCTGTTCTCGTGCGTTTCTGTTGGTTTGGAGGACACGCTGTCCAGTGCGGTCCGGGGTCCGACATGTTTTCTGTGAGGCCCCAACTGTTTTCAGACGTTCTGTCTCTCTCTCTCTCTCGCTCAGACACACACACACACACACACGCACACGCACACACACACACACACACACGCAGACACACAGACAGAGGCTGGCGCAGAATGTTCTCTCTTTGTTTCTCTGTAACGTTCCCAGGGATGGAGCCTGCAGAATCACTGCTGATAACGTCATACGCAAAGGGGAGCACTGGACAGCGTGTCTCGCGGTTGACCCTGGAGCACGTCTGAGGAGGGCTTCAATGATGCAGCAGTAAAACTGAGATAAGAGCAAGATGGCTGCTTGGCTTTCATCTGCAGCGAGGCATCTTTTATTATTGATATTATTACTACCATACAAAAGCTTGCGGAACAATCGGTAAAGCATAGCAAACGTGCTCTGGTCAGACGGGATCTTAATTCAACGTTTTGAACGACTTTTAAAGCATTGAGAGGACCTGAAACTGCAGCCCGATCGTACTCTCCTCATGGGAAAGCACGGAGGTGGCAGCATGATGCTTTGGGCATGTCTTTCTCCAACAGGGAGGGAAAGTCGTCCAGAGAAAATGGAAGGTTAAGTCAGTAGCCAGTTTAATCACAATACTGCACGAAATGAAAACATTTCTCTGTCTGTGCGTCAGAGTCTTCTGCTACATCGACGTCTCTCCTTTCAAATCAGCGCCTTCACCCGCCACAGCAAAGCGATCTGCGTGAAAAGTGATGTCACTTCCTCCCGTCAAGAGCTCAAGCGACTTATTGCGCTGTAATTTCGCCAGAGCCATGAGCTTTAAGCACGTAAGCCAGCAAGTGGAGTTAATCACAACAATGCTTGAAACTGTCAGTTTTGTTGCCGTCGAACTTAATAAGTTGTGACGTCACAAAACTGCTGAGTCATCACACGGCTCCTTTTTTTACCGATAATATATTATCTGCAATAATAGATTGCGGACCTATTGTTGTGCAACATTGTTTTTGTTTTATGATGAATGCATGTGAAAGTTTATTCAATAGGCCAATGCTTTAAAAACAATTAACCCTTTAATGTCAGTTCTGTTGCTTTAGGGGTCAACTCTGGTAATCTAGTAAATACAAAGAAAGACAGTTGTCTTTAGTATGAGTTTGCTGATGGACTGTTTCTGTGTAGGCACACTTTTGTTCTGAAAAATGTTTGGATTCAATGCATTTAAGTGTTAAACGTTCACAAGCAGTTCTGTTAATAACCAGGTGTTTTTGGTACATTTCCTGTTTGTGGCCGTTTCTGCATCGGGTTCACATTCAAATCCAGACCTCTGGCCGAGATTTGCCACTTCTTGCTGCAAGGCAAACAGTTCCTACCAACTGCGGCACCGTGCCGTGACCACATAACAAATACGTCTTTCCTTAAAACGGAAAGGGAGCGAAATTAACCGCCAGTGATTTGTCAAAGTCGAATGTGTTTTTCGGTGGAAACAAGAGCTGCTGGGGAAACGATCTCCCAGTGCTTTCCAAACACCAAACGTGCCTGGAAGCGTAGAAGTGGCTGTATGCTATATTTCTGTTATTCTAATACTTTGCTTTCAGTTTCTAACCACAAAAGTCGAGCGTGCAACTCATAATCCCAGTACTGAGGCCTCCTTTGTGAAAGGCTGAGACTTTAAGCGGCGTTCGTTTTCTCAGACATGTGATGCAATTCCAAGTTTCAGATAGTTTCAGATGTTGTTTGTTTTTCAATGTGCTTTTTTCTCCAACGGGCCAATGGAACTACACCCAACAAGTAGAACCTCAGTAAGACGCCGACTGTTGCATTTCCATTTAGGATCCTCAATAAGTTATCTTCATTGTTGCTGTTGCATTGTCTGCAGATCTAACAACAACAAAAAAACAACAAATAAATAAGAAAGAACTACAAAATTTTTTGATTTTATGTTATTTTGTTTTTTATTGGAGTTTTTTTTCATTTTTTTTTACTTTATTGCAAAAAAGAAAAGAAAAAACAAATTAACACCAACAATAAATAACACATTCAACAATAAAAATAATCCAGATTTAGAGTAAACATTCAAGTGTACTTAGCCTTTGTAAAAAGCTACAGTAAAATGTAAACAGTCTCTCTTTCTCTCCAAAAGGCGAAACGTCAACAAAGCAACAAACTTGCGCATCGGCGCGCGCGAGTCTCACAAGGTATGAAGCTACGTCACAGATGAGGCTCGGACTGACAGAACAAGCTAACATTCTCATACGTCTTGTTGGCAGTGTGTGTTTGTTTGTTTGTTTGTTTGTTTGTTTGTTTTTTGAAGAAGCGGACTCGGTCGTCCTTTAGAAACGGCGCTGCGCGTGAGAGCGCACGCGCGCGCGGCGACAGCATCAGCGGCATCGGCGGCGTCTTCAAAGCTCCGCTCTGCGTCCGAGCGGCAGCCGGCCGCCCTGCACGCGCCAGGCTCCTTCTTCTTCTAAAAGATGTTTTTTTTGTGTGTGTCTATTTCGCGCGAGTTTTCACCTCGTGCTCTCTCTCTCTCTCTCTTCCCCCCTTAGCTTATCACGCACCTCTCTTTGTCCTTGCCGTGGCCGCCGCCGACGGCCTTCTCCTTAATGTACATGAGGTCGCTGTGGACGCTCGGCCGCCGCGCGCACGGCGTCACCACGCCGTACGCCTCCCCGATGTCCTTCATCTTCTTGTGCTTGAGCGACTTCCTGTGCAGCATGTCGCAGTACTGCACGGACACCTTCCGGTGCAGGTCGGGGCTCATCTCGTGGGGCAGCTTGGCCAGAGTGAACAGCGTCTGAAACATCTTGTCCACGTTCTCGTTGCGCTTGGCCGAGATCTCGAAGTAGGCGCACTTGTCGTCGCCGGCCACCAGCTGCTCGATCTCCTCCCGCTGCACCTCCCGGTGGAAGTCCCGGTCGCCCTTGTTCCCGCAGATCACCAGAGGCACGTCGATGTTCTCCTTGATCTTGTTCTTCAGGCACGACTTGGTCTCGTGGATCTGCTTCTTGAGCCGCTGCACCTCCTGGAACGACTCGCGGTTGTCCAAGCTGAAGACGAGGATGAACACGTCACCTGGAGAGAAAAATCGGGGAACGAGTTGGTTAACTTTTTTTTCGGGTTTTTGTTCGCCAATGCACTGAATTTAGCTGAAAATGCGTTTTGCGTTTGTTTGCTTTTTTGCACGAAACTTGCAGCGCTGCAGGCAGGCGCGCGTAAATACGCACGAAAGCTGCAAAACACCAAAACCAGCGAGTGAAGTACCTGTCAGTATGGAGAGTCTCCTCATCGCGGGGAAAGGGTGATTCCCCGACGTGTCCAGTATGTCCAGTTGGTAAACGTCCCCTTTGATGTTGTACAGTTTCCTGTGGAAGTCCTCGATGGTCGGCGTGTACTGCTCCTCGAACCGGCCGTTCAGGAACCGGGACACGATGGCCGTTTTCCCAACTTTGGTGGAGCCCAGAATCACCATCCGGTAGCAGTTCTTGGCGGGGATGTCGAAGTCGCTCTCGGAGGGAGACATTTTCTTGATCATGGTTTATTCCCGATGGCTTGGATTGTGCGTAAAGAAAAGAAGGAAAGAAAGAAACTGGCGGTTTCCGCTTGCGGTTCTGTCTCAACGGCGGTCAGGAGTTGGGTATTTAAGCGAGCTGGGGGCCCCGCCCCCTGTGTGAGCGTCACGGCTCGGTGAGCGCACACATTTGTGTGTGTGTGTGTGTGTGTGTGTGTGTGTGTGTGTGTGTGTGTGTGTGTGTGTGTGTGTGTGTGTGTGTGAAGCAGGAGAGAAGAGGGGAGAGGACAGAACTCCCACTGGTGCGTCAGTCTGTCAGTTCTAACGAAGACGGGACGGGAGAACAAATAAATTAATAAATAGCCTATAAACAGGACATAATAATGATGGAGGGGTCAGGGGTCAGGGGCCCGGCTGATGTGCAGTAGTTCACTAGTTTACCACCATATCCATGTTCCCAAATGATTAACGAATTATGTTGTAAAACTGATTAAAAAAAAAAAGAAAGAAAGAAAAAAAAGAAGAAGATATTCAGATTTGATGCGTTAATATAAATATAAGTGATGCAGAAATAATCAAAATGTCTCGGTGTGTTCCAAAGCCGAACGCACCGATTTGTTCATCCGCTGCGACCAAAACGCGCCAACAGAGGGCGCTCGAATCTGCGGTCGTCGATAATGTGTGAGCGCGTGCTTTACCCATTGCGTGCACGTGGCAAAAAAAAAAAAAAAAAAAAAAAAAAGACAGACAGAAAGAAACAAAAGAGACCGAGTGTTTACCTTCTCCGTCCAGCAGATTACTTCATCTCAGCTGTTTTTTATTCCCCCCAGTTAACCGGCTGATGTGAACAGAGATGCTTGACTCAAATCGGCTCAGCCGATTTTTTTTTTTTTTTGCAATTTAATGGTTTTACAAATTTAACTACAGTTTCTTGCAGTAGAGATGGGGTGGTTGCATTTAGAAAAAATAAAATAAAATTTCGACCAGAAAAAAGGAAAAACAACAAATCTGAAATTTTTAGATTATGCTGAGAGATTTTCTGGAAAGTATTTGGACATTTCTGAGCTCTTAAAGTCAAAAATTTGCAAGAAAAAAAAAGTCAGACATTGTGAGATTTTTATGACTAATTTTCTAGAAATATTTTGGACATTTTCTGAGTTAAAGTAGACAATTGTGGACTTTTGGAAATGTTGTGCTTCAAAAGTTGAAGATATTCTGCTTTTCGCCCAGACCTGTGTCTACACTTTTTCCTGAATGGCACCTAAAGGGAAACATGGAGGTGACAGTATGGCATCACATTCCTGCCAGGAACCAGAGCAGTTTGTCAGTTTTTATTAAAAAAAGAAAATTGAGAGAGTACAGTTCTGATCTGTGGCAAATATAAAAATGAATGTTATTGTCACCTGTATTATAAACACTGGCCTGTCATTTTTTACCCCAAATGATTTTTCTTGGATCTTTTGGAAAGAAAGAAGCGGTGATTATTTTTTTTTTTTATTTCAGTTTTTTTTTAAAGCAAAATCACTTTAGTTTTTCAAGAAAAGGGCCTCCAACTTGCAAGATGGTTGAAGACCTGACCATAACTGCAGAAAAAAAGTCACTTCTATTTAGCATGGACTCGAAGAGGATGAATTCAAAAGCACGCTGCACTTTTCAGATTCTCACCTTTGAAAAAATGAACAAAATCAAGAATAATATTCCTTCCGCTTTAAACCTATGCCCTGCATATGTCAAAAAAATAAAATAATCCCAATAAAATACATTGACGTTTGTGGTTACAACACGATAAAAGGTAAAACAGCCCTGAACATCCTTAAAATGTGAAACAAGCCGGTACATTATTGAGGAGAAAAAGAAAATTGCAGCACAGAAAGAAATGGGACTAAAAGGCTCAGAAAGGAAATTTAAAACCCATATTTTTCATGTCTGTTTTCTATTGGAACCACTCAGCTGTTCATGTCCACATAATAGCAGGAGGTGGGAAACACGCAGTAATTTGCATCCCCTGCTGCCAATTATCCGCCTTTCTGAACAGAAACAAGGCCGACCACATTCGGGAGCTCCTGGTTCTTATTTATTTATTTATTAAAAAAAAAATATATATATAAAAAAGAAGCATGCCTGGAAACCAGGCTGCAGTGAGTCAGCGCGCAGCCACACATCCAGTTCTCTGAACCTCTATCTGCCACTCAGGCTGAACCAACTGACCTCAGTTCAGATGGAGAGGATCCGGGTTTTGTCCCGACTGTCTGAGCCGTCGGCAGAAGTCGCTAATCCGACTGTTTGGTGACAAAGGTCGGCGACGGTGGCATGTGACTTGTAGATCCGGACGCTTGGGAAGACGTCTGCCCCGAGACGTCGACCCAAATCACTCTGATGTTCAACATGCTGCACATGTTCACACACCCTTCAGGAATTGTCTTTTATCATTAGTATTGTTAATTTTAAAGATGAATTCCACTGAGATTGTCAAAATGATCTGATTATTAGTTTTATTACTCTTCATCGACCACATCAGAACCCAGTAGACTCTCAAAATGAATCCATTCTTGTTGGTCCCTGCTTCTAATAGTCATCTTTAATAAATTTGAATATTCTTCCCCATGAGGCCCATTTGTCAATTTAAAAGTACCTTTTGAAAAAAAAATAAAAAAAGCTGGTATGACGTGTCAAGACCGTTTCCGTATTATTATTATTTTTTTTAGTGTTCTGGTGTGATAATCTAATTTTAAATGTTATGTTTACATTAGCTGGAAGAGGAAAATTATTATAAGTAACAGAAATAAAGTCTAGAAAACACCAGCTTTCTATATGATGTGTTTCGCTTGGCTATAAAGTTCCTAAATGGACTAGAATAATAATAAAGTCAAATCCATTTTTCTCAAACCATATAACATAACCATGTCTTATTTTTAGGGTCTCCAAATTAAATTCTGAAGTTGTTTTTACTTGTTTTGTTCACCATCTAATCTTCAAAGTTCCAGCCGGCTCGGTTTGGTTCTGTTTTTTGATTCGTGTGTCTACGGTACAGAGAGGAACTCGTTTCACCTGGCAAGACTGCAGAGGAACCGCGAACTTCCGGATGAAAACAGGTGCTGCCTCCTGGGCCAGATTTCAGGAAGGGCATGCCGGGGCAGTAGCCCAGGGCGGCAGGTTTTGTGGGGTGGGGGAGAGCAAACATTTAGCACGAGTGCATGTTTTACAAACCTTGTGTGTTATATAAAACTCAAAGTCCTGAATGAAGTATGGGTGTTTTAATATTGTTATATTTTATGAATGTATTCAATAAGCAAAGTTTTGAAAATTCTAATTCATAGTCTGTCTTTTTGGGTCCAGCTATGGACCCAAAAAGGAACCATCTCACATGGGTGCATAGACCTGATGTACTGTGACTTTATTTAGCTTTTGAATAACTCATTAAGTGAAATAATTACCCCTTCCTGAGTTTTGATCGATGGGACTAATAGGATATTAATAAATGACTCTGATAAACGTGACTACGTATCAGATTCATCGCCACTTCCGGGTCAGGTCGTCCGTTTCTCTGCCGGTTCTGGTGTGGAAGCTGAACCACAGCGACCCTCCTGTGTCCCATGACCCAGCTACCTGTGGGAGTCTGCTGTTTTCCTGAGTCATGACCCAGTTTCCACAGAGGATGTGTGTCTTTGGCTGACTTCACAGCGTGAGACGTAATGTGGTCCGCCGTCTCAGTGCAAGAGAGGAAATCTGCACTTTCACCAGCGAACTGCTCAGGGAGGCAGAAAGACGTCGTACAGAGCAGCAGACAATGAAAATCCGCTCATTAGAGTCAGGGGTCTAATGGACGCGCTGAAATGGGGTGATTGCTGGCGCGGTTTCAGACATCACCAAGCCATTAGTTCCATCACAACCACATCCAAGGGCTGGGCGAAAATGAAAGTGGGGCAAGTGGGACAGTAACGCGGCGGTAAACGGACAAAGCAACTAAGAAAAACAAGAAATCCAGAGGAGAGGAGGAAGACATAGTGGAAACAGGTCTGAGGCATTTTAAAAGTAAGAAAATAAATAAATAAATGATTTGAAAACTTAGCAGTTGGGACGATTTCATCTGACGATTTCACCCAAAGCTGAACTGGTGCTCACACGACCATTCTACAACATGTTTAATAAACCATTTGAATGGACAGGAACGTAAAAAAAAACCAAGTTGATCAGTTGGAAAAATAAAAACAAAACAATTCAATCACTTGAATGCATAAGCGTGGTCTCCCTCAGACTCTTAAATCATTCTTTTCAGTTGAGTTGCTCACAATGAATCTCAAATTATACCCGGAAAAGGTGTTTGAATATTTTCGTCTTGTTTTCTGTCTCACAAACTCCTGACTTTTTCCCAGGGGCATCAACGTGTTGAGAACAAAGGTATAAAAAGCAGTTTAGGGCAAATGATCAAACTGATCATTTGTTTTCATCAGATTTGCTGACATCTAATAAGTAGAGATGTTCTGATCTGATTTTATTGGTCTTCTTCAAAAGAAGAAGCTCAACTTTCTGGTGTGTCACGTGACCTGAATCCTTCAGATTCTTTGTTTATGTCATATGACATATATATGCATACACATATCTCCAATCTGCCAGGAGAGCTCTGTGTAGAGCAGAGCAGAAAGCAGCTGAAACACCAGTCTTTAATATTGATCCTGTTCAAAGTGAATATGTTCCCTGTATGAACAGGAGAATAAGCTGACTCTCATGTATCGCGCTTGAGAACAACAGCAGCGGATTGCACGCTCCTCTTGCTGTTCATCAGTTTTTAGACGCTGAGAATAAGATCGACCTCCTCTTCATCGGTCCAGTCACGGTTTGTTATTCACGGTTCTTCTCTTCTTGTGTTTACCGCTAAGCTGGAGGTTTCAGATGTTTGATCACGGCCGCGTCGCATCGAGAGCGCTGTCGTTTTTAGTCGACCTGAGATTCCACTTCTTTTCCTGCTGACTGAACGCTGGACTCATCTGACCTCAGGACACGTGTCCACTGTCTGTCCGTGGGAGGTATGCGGCCTCGGGAAACTTGGTGACCCTTCTTCATAGAGGTGCCTTTTGTTCCTGGGTTCTATGCTTGGACTGAAAATGTTCCTGTCTGTTTGCCTCATTAAGCGTGAGATATTTGCTATCAGTGCTCAGAGGCATTCGGTAAGTACTGACAGTGCCTCGTAAATGTATTAATTCGGGTGGAATTTCATATTTTGTCACACTACAATCCCAAACACATATTCTTTTTGTAATTTCGTTTGACAGAACAACATAATGTTGAGTCGTTGTCTTTTTTTTCCTCAGATTATCACAAGCTGGCCTTCACAAAGATGTAAAATCATTGTATTGTGACTAAGCAAGTGCTGTCAATCGATTAAGAAAATGTAATGAGATTAATCACACTCTTGCGCCGTGATTAATCACAATTTCTAATTTGGTAAGCCTGTATTATAAATATGGCTGCAGTTGTATTTCTTGCAAGAATGGCGCTCCAGGCAAATTCAACAAATTCAAATCCAAACCATTTTCTGATTATTTTTGTGGCAGAAAGCAGGGATTTTCTACTTCTTTCGTTGTGACGCCCCTTTCTGATGCCACCCTGGTTAACTGCCAATATCGCCCATGTCAGAAATTGCCAATTTATGCATGTTTAAAAAGAAAAAATGTTTGCGGATTATTTTCAGCTGAAAATGGAGTTCTTGAAAATGTCCACCTTGGAATAACAACATCACAGATTTTCCTGTTTTCTCACCAAAATCTAAGAAGATGAAGTGCAAACTGTCTGGTTCGTCTCCTGGTAAAAATGTAAGCTGTATTTAAAATCAATGCAGAATCTAACAGAAAGGAGACAAACAGAGGGTATTCTTTAGGGTATTTTCCAGATCGCGTTACTCTACCGATTCAAGCAGAATGACAATGCCTTAAGGACAAAGGGCACGGAGGGTCACACACGTTACAGATATTTACAACAACATTTACAAAGTTATATGACCTTTGATTTCCAGGAACATTCTCTGAGGTAAAAAAAAAAAGATTAAGATTGATGTGTGTTTGAAAAATAAATTCAGCAACAAGTAAATCCTTGGGAAAATGAATAATTTGATGAATTCTGCTTCAAAAAAAAAAAAAAATCTTATTACTTCACTTGACAGCCACCGATCAATCAGAAGCTTTTTTCTTTTCAGAATAATCTTTTGAGATAACGGACAAAAACATAAAGTTGGTTGGTGAGCTCATGATACAGACTAATTATAAGTCCAACGCTCCTGACAACGACATAACAGATGACTTCCTGAAGGCAGAGTCTCAGAAAGAGCAGGAGCTTCTTAAAGAGACAGAGGCCCAATTTCAAAACGTCAAAGTGCCATGCGCATTTCTGGCTTTACAATCTCAGATAATATCTTCATTCTAATGTCATAAATTTATGCATTTACATTGTAAAAAAACAACAACAACAACAAAAAAAACATTTTCTTCTTTGGAATTCATGCTTTTTCTTGTAAATATGAGAAAATAATCTAGAAATATTTGGAAGAAATTTATTTTTTTATCTACTCCACTGCAGGTGAAAGCACTAACTTTGCTGGTCCTTGTTTAAAGGCGATCTTTTCAAGTTGCTGTTGGAAGTCAGTGGAAACAGCCTGAGCGGAAACCGTTGCATAATGTCAAATATGTCACTTTTCTTATCATCATTTCCCTAAAAATCTGTCTTTTTTCCTAGAAGCCATTTGCCATTAGCCTGCTGTTAAAAAAAAGCCCGGGTACTGAGCAATAATGGATTTCACAGTGAGGTTGCTGTGAGGTCGCAGGAGAGGGATGTGAAGGGAGAAAATCAAAGAATCACACAGAGATGTGGAGGTTTTATCGTCTGGAAGTTTCCTTTTGTGGGGAACGAGGTGATGTCACCGCGCTGGCATTGTGTCTCTTCTATTGTTGGATCATGTCTGCATTCACAGTGATTTGCTTCAACAAAGCAGCTACAGTCCCTTGGTGAATATTCAAGCCCATGTAGCATTTTACATGTCAACCTCCCCCCCATGTCGTATCAGCCTTAAAAACTGCTGCTTCAGGACCCGGAGAACTTGCATAACCCAAGAACGCCTGGGTTAGGAAGAAAGAGAAAAGAAAGCTGCACTATGTAACTTTTACAAAATTATGTTTTAATATTTTTTTTCCGTATTTGTTTCAACTGTCACCATGCTGTTACACTACGTCATATAACACGACACACATCATCTGTGAAAAAACAGATCATCTGTCCTATATCATACTGTCACAACATACTGATTATTTTAATAAACACAGCTCTGGAAAAAAAAATTAAGAAACCACTTAAGATGATCAGTTTCTCTGCTTTTACGTGTTATAGATACATGTTTGAGTAAAATGAACATTGTTCTTTTATTCCATGAACTACTGACAATGTGTCTCCGAAATTCATTGACGACCGCAGCCGGTGTGCAGCCGGTGTGCAGCCGGTGTGCGTCCATTCATGCGCCCGGATCGGAGTCCTCAGTCGCCACACCAGCAGGTGAGGGATGCGATCAGTCGTGTTTGCGGCGCTGATTTCTCTGCAGATAGATCTGCTCCGTGAATGGTCTGCAAATACAGGAGAACAAACATGCAGTAGGACAATAAAAGTGGGAAGGGAACGCTGTACCACACGGTGCCAGGAGCTTTGCATGTGTGTAGCGAACCGTGGCGGAGCTCAACGGGTGCGGAGTGTATGACAGGAAGATATCTCCGGGTTTCCCTTGCTGACAGGAGACAATGTGTGTGCAAGATATCATTTCCGTGGCGCGTCGCTGAGACACCCCACCGGACTTCTGAAGAACTTGACACATTTCGAGAAACTCATGGCTTCGTTTGATCTACAGACATATTATCTTACTATAAATCTTAGTCACATTTGCTTACATTTTATTCTTTTGAAGGGATATTGGACAAATACGAGGACATAATATTAGCAAGTAAGAGTACCCGTGTACCTCTTTGTTTAGTAAAAGGGAACTCAGATGATCTGTTCCCAAACAGTGTTAGCTTCTGGTCCCCCTAAAGATCTAAAGATAAGTTTAGAGACAAAACCGCTTCTTTAGGGTCAGAAATGAAGCTGTTTGAATAAAGAAAAGAAAAAAATCATTACTTGAACATCCTTGCAGCAGCACTGTTTTACAATCTCTGGTAAACTCTTAAATAGACTAGTAAATTTCATTGCAAAGATCAGAAAATCCAACTTCTAAATGGGAAAGCAAAAAACTCCTCAGAGCACAAAGCTTGTAGAATTTTTGATTACTTTAAGAAAAATACAGACGTGGCTTTAGAAATTAAATTGTGACTTCTTGTTAAAGAATACATGACAGCACAAAAGGTTACAAAAAGAGAACATGTTCTCCCAGCTGATACTCAGGACTCAATGAGAAAACTGGAAATGTGTCTTTAGCTGTGCTGACAAGGCTGAACTGAACTAAACACAAACACTGTGTTTAGTTTGCCACCCACAGATTGGATTTTGTTTTCCTAATAATGAATAATGAATAATAAATTGCGCTCGAGTTGTTCTTTCAGTTTTTGTACTTTGATATTCTGAGGTTTAAGACGTCGAGTGATGAATGTGAAAAACTGAATCAAATAATCAGAATTTTCCTTGCCTTTGCTTATTACACCTAATTAGGAGCAAATGTTAGAACAGAAACCAAAAGATGAATGAGTGGAAATAAAAAGTCCAATTTGATATTCACAAAGTGTTTTTTGTAACCAAGATTTCACCTATCCTCACCTCTTTTCTCCTAGATACAGCTGACTGTGAGCTGACTGGGCTTCATCACCACCTGCTCTCTGCTGGGTTCCTGCCTGTCTCACACTGGTGATTCTTACCAACTCCAATCACTGTGTGAGGCAATATTCCCTCAGCCACACACACTCATACATCTTAACTAATAGTACTACAGAGAATCAGCGAGACACACGTTTGACAAATATAGCACACGGCTCCCGTAATCAGCGCAGCGTGTGGTTAAATCTTTAGCTCTCCAGTGGGCGATAAATGACACCATGGCTGACCGGCGTCATAGTCGTGACCCGCTCCTGTTGCCCAATATTAAATCTTCTTACAGATGGATTGCTTTAATTGGCACGAAGACTAGCGTAGCGTTGAATTTGAGATTCGATGTTGCTATTCCTACACTTGTCGGTCAGCCTGAACGCCTCATCTTGGGAAAGCTGATTGAGCACCTTCCTGCCATTGCTGCTTGATGTTCAGAGGATGCGAGTTAAACAAACAAGGCAGTCCTGATGAGGAAGGAAACAGGCATAAGTAATTTATTGCTCAGTATTTACATGGACACTGTCATTTTCTCTAAGCTTTATTTGTGAAGGCTTTGCGTGTTATTTTGGGACGTTCATAAGAAATGTAGATTAGAGCTCCCTGTTCAGTGTGTCTTGGTACGCTGGGCAAACACCAATATATTCTGACACGTAAATATGAGCTTGTGATCGTCAGACAATATGCATAAATGAATAAAAATACACAGTGATGGTTGAAATAAATTAATAAATAAAAAAAGACCACTCCTGTACAGCTTCAGTTTTACAAAAGTTAAAATACAGCTAATCTCAAAGTCGATGTCTTAGTTGATAAACTGTAAATAGGTTGAGGGTTCTATATAGGGTTTCTGTACAAATTGTGACACTTTTGTGGAAATTTGTTTGGTTCTGCAGTATTTTGCCTAAAATCGTGTCAGTGCTTAGGTCAAAGGTCAAATAGTCCCCAAGCAGTTGAATTGTCCTATTGGTTCAGGTGGTAGAGCTTGGGACCGGTAAAACCAAAGTAGAGATGTTTGGTTTTAATACAAAATGCCAAGTTTGGTATAAAACCAAACACAAACACCTCAGATGATAAGCTGGGTCTCTTCACTAGCATTTCTGTTGACCATAGTAATCTGTGAGCCAATCTATCTGACAGAAGGAGCTGAGGCAAAACAGGGTCATCAATGACCTTTGTCACATCAACAAAGCCACAGCAGATTGGCTCAAAAAGAAAAGAGTCAAGTTGTTACAACAGTCCAATCAAAGTCCAGACCCTAGCCTCAGTTGAAATGCTTGGTTGGGCCCTCAAGAGAGATTGAGGGTCGTCTGTAAACCTCAATGAACCAAAATCATTTCCCACAAGCAATGTGGGAGGTCAGAAGATGTGCAGGTCAGATTTAGTCAGGCACAGTAAATAGGTTGAAAAACTTGACTTAGATCAAGACCCATTGCAAATCTGTCCACATTGAGTTTTTCAAGGTGCTTCCTTTATATCACGACTGTGCCTGCATTATATCTCAGTTTGTGATTTACATCAACCAGCTGGATGTGAAGTGTCTGTGTGTTACCTGGAGAGCGGCAGAAACTCATTGTATTTCTCCTTACCTACAGGTTCCCATTTTAACTTTTTTTTGTGAGCTCAGATGTTCAGAAGTAGGACATAGCAGATTTAGGTCACATTGCACAACCAGTAACATAAAATGTACTAACTAGAAAACTTTTAACGTTTGCAAAAAGAGCCTCAACAGAAAGACGAGGAGAAAACATAGAGGCAGATTTCTAAAGCGAGCCACTCTGCTTCACGTATCTTTGTCTCTGCTGACAGACTGCGAATGAATTGAAACGCAGTTCATTAACAGCTGTTGCTTTTTAACAACCGAGAGCTTCTCTAATTAAACTCCTGATTTCAGTTGATACATCAGTGTTTACTGATACTTATGGGATCAGTAAACACCGTCGCTGTTAGAGAACTTGGATTTAGGTCAAAACTTAAAGTACTTTTACAGATTCAGTAATATTTATGTTCACAAGTCGAATTCTACACTGTTTAAATGGATATTTACTTTTATTACGCAACAATGTTGCACTGAAGCAGCAGGAGTTCAGTCAAGAGGATTAATGGTGTTTTAAAATTCCATTCTGAAAATAGAAAGCCCATTTTTACTCTGCTGAATGCTGATCCGTGAAGAGTTATTTAATCACAGAACTACTGTGGAAACTATTTTGGTTTAAGGACTTTATCATGTTGTCAGATTTATGGATAAAATTACTCTGAAATGGACAAAAAAAATATTTTATCAGGACGAAAAATTAAAACATGTAACATATTTGGTTTTAGACGCAGTTTGTGATATTTTTGATTAGTTCTGGAAAAATTAAAGCAGGAGTTTAGAAATGAGATTTTAACCTCGAGTGATAGAAAACTGGAAGTAACTGAGGTTACAACAAGAGAACATATACTTCCAGCTGACATTCAGGACTCAATGAGAAAACCTTACACGCTTCTATGGCTGTGTTGGTTGACAAGGTCACTCTGAACTAAACAGAAGCATTGACCCACTTTTGCCACCCACATACACACAGAAATCTTTGCTCTTTAAATTCCTGAGGTATAAAAACATATTTTTAAACCAGTATTTGACTAATCCTCACCTCTTTTCTCCTAGATACAGCTGACTGTGAGCTGACTGTGAGCTGACTGTGAGCTGACTGTGAGATGACTGTGAGCTGACTGGGCTGCTCGGCGTTCACTTCATCACCACCTGCTCTCTGCTGGGTTCCTGCCTGTCTCACACTGGTGATTCTTACCAACTCCAATCACTGTGTGAGGTTCCCTGATACACACATACACGCAGGTACACACACCTCTTAACTAATAGTACTATTGAGAGTCAGTGAGACACACAGAAGACAGATATAGCACACGGCTCCCTTCGTCATCGCAGCGTGTGTTTACATCTGGTGCCTGCACATCTTCAGTTTGCATGTAGCTGCAAATAATACAGATAGTCACACCCCTTCTTAGATCTTGGTTTTGAGATATAAAGAATTTAAATTAGCCAAGGGGCGAAAGCAGAGTGTACAAAAAGGGAGCAAAACTTTGCACAAATTTCCTCTTTTGAGTTAATTTGAGTCCCTTAGATCTCTGTAAACTGCAAACTTCATTGTATTTTACTGAGGTTATTTCTTTCTTTTTCTTTTTTTTCAATGTCCTAGTGGTGTAGATGCTTTTGCGAGACTGAAAACATGCAGGTCCATCTGTGCTAGAATCGACGGATACAGCCTCTTCTCAAAAGCTCTCAGTAACCTAAAGCAACACTTTCAGTTCAGCAGGGAATTTTCTTCAGCCAACAGAAAACTTAGAAGCCTGCCAACCCACGTCATTCCTTGAGACGTCTCTGCTTCACTGAAATAAAAAATACATAAAAACCTACAGCAGGCCTTACATCCACCCACACCCATACACAGCCCCTCATATTACATCTAGAAATATTGTCTGGCTGGTTTGGTTCAGTTCTGTTGCTACTTATTTTCTGTGGCGATGAACTTTCAAATGATTATGAATCATATGTTAGAACAATGGAACACTGCTTTTTTTCCACCTGTATTTTCAGGGTGAATCCCATTATTGAAGTATCTTTTCTTTTAACTCACTTTACCGGCATGGGTTGAGTGATGTGTTGGGATGTGAGTGATGTGTTGGGATGTAAGTGATGTGCTTACTTAAAACTTTCAATTCATTGCCCAAAACTAAAATAAACCCATGTGAACACTCAGTAAAGCCCCGTGTGATAATCAGCTGGGGGTTTTTCCTCCACATCTCCTGAAACGGTGCAGCTGAACGGGTGGATGCCGGTGTTACGCCAGAAAATGCATCCACGGTGTTGCTTTTTCAAAATAAAGTACATTTTAACATTTCATGACATTTAAATCGATGCCAAACTCTGACTATGATTAATATTGGAACACAAATGTAGGCTATTCTGCCCTTATGGATCAGGCACATTGTCACAAAACCCCGTCTGGAATTTTTTTTTTCAAATATTAATAACGCTAATGCATTCGTGAGAAATGACAACAAGGCTTTTGAGACTTACCCTTCGAATCTTATGGCTACTTTGTAAGCCAGGGCCACTATGGCAGTAAGGACTAACCCAACAGGACTGGCACCACTGCAGACAGAACCGGAGAGAAAAACAGAAGTAAGATAAGAGTGTGACGACATCCCTGAGACAAAAGGAGTAATTTAAGACTTTTTAACTTCACTGGGACACAGACGAGAAAAGACCAAGAACCACCTGTCTGACTTACTGCAGATGAGAAATGTGACACAGATTTAGATGGAACGACGAACTCTTTATGTGTATGTGGAAGTGATTAGAATGCAGCCGCGTGAAAAAAAATCCATTCAGTGACAACAACAAAAAAAAGTCTAACTCATAATGTTCAGGTGTGACTGAAGTGCAAAAAACCATTAGTCATAAAACCGCATTATATGAGCCAAAGTAAATAGCTTTTTGTGGAGAGAGGTGGCGTAATTTGAAAAGCAGCATAGTTTTTGAATAAATGGGAAAAAAAAGAAAAAAAAAGTATGCTTCATATTTTGTAAAATCATTTTCACCCAAACCGTCTGGAACTATTTCAAGCAAGAAGTGATTTGCCAGTGAAAGGAATAGTTTCAATTCTTCATTTTTATCTTTGGAGAGTTTGTGATCTGTAATGAATCACTAGACAAAACACATTCAATGTATTATCTTTTTTTTTTAAATCACTCAAGATTATTATTTGTTCCTGGAGTCTAGGAATAAAGCAGCTTTGGTTCTTTAAATGCTTTTCTGGGTTCTTTAGTGACTTTTTGGATGAGCTGTTTAACCATTCTTGGGTTGATTTTTGGGTCCTTTGGCCACTTCCAGGGAGGTTCACCAATGTTCCATCTCAAACACATCTCACTAACTGTGTTTCCATCAAGGCGTTTTTATGCGCATTGTGATGTATCAAGTTCAAACCTCCAACTTAGAGGATTGATTTAGGGATGTACGCCAACCTCTACATCCTGTTTAGTGTCAACGTCAGACAAAATTACGTTTTGCGTAGCCTGGTTGATTCGCTCCAAACCAGTAGATGGAAACACGCCTAATTTGGATTTTTGTTTTTGTCCTTCTTTTGTGACATTTTTAAATTTAATTCACAATTTGCATAACAGTTGAATTATTTTTCCAAGAAAGTAATTTAAGACTTTTTAAAGATACTCTTCATGGATTAGATGCTTGCGTTAGCCTTAACAGAAAATGTGAAGGCTATAGCTGCCTGTCTTAGCTGGTCACCAGTTTAGCAGATGCTTTTAGTAGGTGACAGGTCAGCCAACTCACTACAGGCACGAGGTCGGCATGGTAACTGGTTTCCCAGATAAATTGTACAAGCGACTTTGAAAGTTGCTTTAGTGTGGCTAAAGGTCATCGTAACAAACAAAGTAATCTTTGCAGAAACCCCTAACCAGAATCAGCAAACCAAAAATACAATAACTCCTTGTGTAACACAAACATGAAGATGTCTACAGCTAACGCTCTCCTACACAACATCCAGGCCAAGCGTGTGACAGAGGATCAGGCTGAATGACTGGCTCTGCTGCTCTGCAGCTTTCTATCTATGTTCCCTAAATCTGCAACTGTCATCAGTCAGCTGCGGCACACATCGCTGTCATGTGTCCGCTTCTCAGGTTGTACAGACATAAACGAAGATCATTAATGCTCATAGTGTCTGGATTTCGCAGGGGACAAGGAACACCAATCAACCTGTCCGTTAATACCCGCAAAGTTCACCTTTATGTTGAGAAGTAGATGATAAACTCTACATGCAGTTGCTGTTATTCCCCTTAGTTTGAAGCAGAATTGGCGGTGAAATATCAGGACTCTTGTAATGGAACCCAAAACGGGTCTACCAACATGGGAACAGCAAAACTGTTGGGACGCAGCCGTGTAACTTTATACACGGCTGTCACTTTCGCCTCAACCTCAGGGGAAACAGGCACTTTTTTTTAGTACTGTGTCTCAACAGAGGTGCAGGAACTAAAGGAATTTGAAGATACAATGAGAGAGAAGGAAGACATGCGGCATATGTCACCAAGCTGGGAATTGAACCTGTGACCACCGCCAAGAGGAATAAGGCCTCAACACCTGGGTTGTGCTTTGCCTCTTCACCTCAGGTACAAAGCAATGAAATGGCTTAATTACCTCCTCCTTGTGTAGGTCAGTTCTCCAGAGCCTTGCTAATGACCCAATTATTCTATTCAGGTGTGGTGCAGCAGAGGCACATCTAAAAGTTGCAGGACCCCAGGCCTTGAGGACTGGAGTTTGACGCCCCTGCTCTACAGCTTGATAAAAAGTAATTTGTAACGAGGTATTTCAAGTTTGCCAAGATATTTGCACTAGAAACTAGACCAAAAATACTTGGTAAGATTTTGTGTTCTTGCTCAGCAAGACACAAGGTTTACTACCAGTGGCCAGTGGATTACATCATATCTTCAAGTCAATGCAAACCCAAGCAAGACTGAAGTGACTGTGAAGAGGAATCGCTCCCTTTTGAAAAGAAGAAACAGTCTGGCATATTTCCCAAGTTTGAATTTGTCATTGAGAAAAATTCTCTAACTTGTTCCTGCATCTGTGCAGATAAAATCGACAATGTTGTATAAATCTAAATACACAAGCCCTGGGACGCAAAGGTGATCGGTCAATGAATTAGGACTTTGACTATCTGCCTTGTCTCTGTGCTGTGAAACATAGAGATTATTTTTTAAAGTGTTTTCACATGACTTTGATTTCTATGTCACAGATGGAACAGCTGCGATTACATTCCTCTCACGGCTTCAATCAGTTTCAGATGTTATGCACAACATTCGCCTCCCACTTATTCAGTCAGACCACTTATTCAGTCAGACCAATCTGACGCCATGAGTTAGCGGACATCTTTGCATGGCTTCTTTGTGCTACTGACCCACTTCCAAACCCTCGCTACTACAAATATTATGACCAAACCCGGTTGACTTGATTGTGCCACCTTACATCCATTTAGTTGAGAGAAACGCTCTCTCAATTTACGCTTCCGCTTGGAAAGCGGCGAGGAACTGACAACGGGGAATTACTATTTAAAAGTTGCTCCTTTCATTTTCTTTCACGCTGTGTGACTCAGTGTGATTCTCAGTACAAGCTCATTATCACCTGATCCAGAAAAAGCAGAGTTCCCATTGTGAGGAAAGGCAAATTAACAAAACATGACATTAGGAATTTTATTATTCTCCCATTGATTTGTATGTTATTTTTGGTGAAAGTAATCTCATTAAACTCTTTTATGGAAAAGAATGTCTTAGAACATAAACGAACATACAGTCGTCATCATCATCCCAAAAATAGCGGTCAGTTATTTTTAGCCAATAGATTTTTTTTTTCTTGCCTAAAATATTTTTTAGAAAAACAGAGGTGGAGATTTTTTTTCACCCCCAAATCACACTTTTAGCAAAAAAAAAAGAAAAAAAAAAAAGACTTGGGCCATAATTTTATATGGTCTAAGTCGATGCTCATAAGTTGGCTGACATTTCTATTTTTATTTCAGAGTTTTTGCCTGTGCAGCCGACTACACCTGGAGAAACAGAAGTTGCATACAAATCAACTACAACAGTACAAAATGGCAAGTGGAGCAAAATTATCTTTACTCATTGCTTGTTGCTTTATTTATGGAACAAATGGAAAATTTCCAAATTTAATGACCTCAAGATCTACCACCAACAAGAAAAACAACTATACCCAGAGGGACATTTTAACACCAAAAAAGCAATTGCCATTGACGTCAAAATGACAGCGATTTACTAGCGCTGATCAATACTATCAATACTACAAAACACTCCTTTTTCTCCAGCCAATCAGATTCCCAATCAAGCCAGTGCTTAAGCAGCTGTGCACCAAAATGGTAGCCCAGAGTTTGAGGGCGTGATGTGGCCCAGAGCGCAGTGATCTTCTCAGACTGGGAGCATCTTTGTTCTGTGTCTCTCGGAGACCTCATGCCCCACCACATGATGAATGTGTCTGATATAACTGACCGCAGTTGTAATGCACTCGGCGAAGATGGTTTTAACTAAACAAGCCTTTCAAAAAGGAGCAAAGTAGAGTGAAGGGTAGGGGAAGATGCACAACAACTAAAAACTAAGGTAACTGTAGAATTTCCACACCATCACATCTGAATACTATATACCTTAAAGCTATGTTCTCTTATGTTTTTATGCTTAATTTGCCTCATTATACCAGAGCTCTCGTTTATGACCTCCTGAATCCATTATTCATTTGTCCATCGTCTGCATCTGCTTGTTCGTGCAGGTACAGACGATGGTCAAGGCTAATGTTCACTAGTCTATCAAGGGCAATAGACATTAACATAAATCTTTTGGAAAACAGTAATTATGGACTTAATTGTACAATTGTACAATTGTATAAGCCAATTTAGAATGTACTTCATTGTGTTATAGTTCATGAGAGTCTGCTGTGAATTAGGCTTTTAATAACAGATCTATTTTAATGAGATGCATTTTATCAGCTGTGATGTCTGTTTGATGGCTTCATCCATTGCTCCACATTTCAAAGTGACACCACAAAACAGATCGATTACAAAACGCTTCCGATTATAAATGAAGTATTTTAAGTTAAACTTTTCTACATTTTGAAAGTAAAATTATAAATATAGTTCTGAAAATTATTTTTTACTGGATATGTTGCTATTAATAGTTGTTGGTTAAAAAACAAAGCTCTACTTCACCAGTTTGTTGACATGATCTAAAAAAAAAAAAAATCCAATATTTAGTCACTAAATGGAAAAACATGAAGCAGCTATATTTAGATTCCATTTTATATACACCGCTCTGTTCAGCTGGTCTTAATGCAACATTTTCAGAACATTTTGGAACAGGTGTGAGCTCATTTGATGACCAGTTCACATAAACAGGAGAGAAAAAGCCGATGGGTTTCGAGGGCTAACGGAGAGGCTTTTATCTTTCTACAGCCTCAGACCGCTCACTCAAAGTAAACAAAGACACTCGAGTTATTCTTCATTAGTGATAACATGATTTAGAAAATTAATTCAATGACAAATTTAAGTAGTGATAAAAAAAATAAAATTGCATGTAGAACATGCAAACTCTATTTTAGAAAGACGATGCAAACCCAGGGCCTTCTTGTTGCAAGGCAACCATGCTACTGACAACAAAACTGTGTAGACACAATTTCTTTATAGAATTCAAAAGATGTCTAAAATCACTAAATGAGGTTATTCGCAAAACTTAAAAACCGCCCAATGTTGTATTACAGAAAGGACATCTTTCCAACTACAGTGACTTAATTTTCTCACCATTTGAACAGCCATTTATCCTGTCGTTGTCTTTTACTGTGGACTTTAACATTATAAAAATTGAGATTCATTGTAGCAACAACAAACTCAATGTGATGATGCTTAAAAACACACACACAAAAACGCATTGTTGTAATAGTCACTCCACCAGATTGATGCAGCTTTTTCGTCGAGCACTGCTGTTAGCTTGTGGGTTAGATTTACTGCCACACCAGAAACTAGCATGTTTAAAAAGAAAAAAAAGTGATTAATCACTTTAAAATTTTTTGCGGCATAAAATCAATTAATGGAAACCAACATGCTGAAGTTCTAGCACTAGCACATTGATATTTTCATGTACTGAAGGTTTTCTTCCTCTGTCCTGTTTTGTTGATCACACATCTGCTTCCTGTTGGTGATGCCTTCCATAAATTCAAGATCAAATTTAATTTTGACACAAATGGGATCCAACTTTACATTTTCTTTAAGCCCACTAACAACCCTCTTACCTAGAAAGCCTCTAAAAAGTTTTCATATTGCTTAGCATTTTGGGAAGTATTTGCAAAATAATAACTATTATAACCTGAAGTTCCCGGGTTTAATCAAATTACTATAAGTTATTATTATTCAATTCATTGTTCTTTCTTGACTCAAATTAAAGTTTTGGTTTGACTATGCACACAATGAAAAAAGAACATTTGTGTGGGTTTTTTTTATACATTTTACAACTATGATACTAAGTATGACATCAACTGCATTTAAAACTGACCGAGGAAGTCAGTTTCAAAATAGAAAAAGTAAGTAGAGGTGTAAGAAAGCGTCCCTAATCCAGACCAGTCCTAACAGCAATGAGGGGGGAAAAAGTGATGAAGAAGAGAGAGGGGGGAAGAAGAAGAAGGAGACTTGCAGCTTTTATTAGTCTGGTTCATCAACTCCGTAAAAGCTTGCCTAGCAACCACAATCTCCGAGCCGTGTTGTCACAGTTGCCATGGAGACTGGGGGGCACACGTAAAACTTATTTTACCTTGCTGCGTTTTTCAGCCGTGATTTGCAACTCGGAGAACAACAACATGTTCCATTTTTAGGCCGGGAGTTCATCTATTATGTGTGCACTCTCCTAATTTAGAACGGCGTTTGACGTACGCCGGTGCCGTTCGGCCCGGCCAAACGCATCAATTCTGCCTGCTGGAGTTTCATCGTCTCGGGGGCGACAAACTTTCAAGGTGGCGATTGACGGCGAACTGTTTGCAACAAGTCCATCGGTAGAAAACTGGCAACATTTACGTACATGAGCGCGAAGCCGAGGTAGTTGGCTGTGCTGCCCCAGTACATCGGGTTCTCGAAGATGCTGAAGGGGAAACCAGTCACCTTCTCATCCATCAGTATGCCAAAGTAGTCGCCTACACAAAAAACAGAAATATTGCATTAGAGAATTTCTTGAACAACAAACAGATGTATGAAACAGCTAAAAGACAACAAAGTTAGACTGGACTGATGTTTTGACTGAACGTTGAATTCCAGCAAATGTATTTTTAATGGCGATGATAACATAAAAACAGTTTTACATTTATTACGCTACCAGGACTCTGGAAACATGATTTTCTCTTTGTATTTGTGTGTGTGTTATGTCCCATGATAAACCTGGCTGGCCTTTTTCCCATGATAAAGTCAGCTGGAAAGTGTTCAGCAGGAAGGCATCTGGAAAGGCAGCTATTCTAGTATGGAGACATATCTGCTGCCAACCTGAACAGGCTTTCAAAGAAGCTCAAAAGAAGGCAGTAAAGTTGCTGCATTTTGTTCTTTTGCGTTTTCTTCTCCTATCGGTTACAGAAAATGCTGCACTTTGAAAATGTGGCTCATCTTTGGAAATTTCACTTAATATTTATTGCACGTTTTCATACCATTAGCTTGGAAAGAACATAATTCGAAATCACTCTCAGACATAGCCTAACCTAAAGGTGTTGCTCTAAACCTTAAACTGCATACCGGTTACGTTTTTATTAAAAAAACAAAAAGCTAATCGGCCATGTTTTTGCTTCTACCATCTGATATTTTACACAATTCGTTGGGTTGCTAACTTCTTCATGGAAAGTCAAAATAAAGTGAAAGAAGAAAAAACTTTAGCAGCAGAGATTGTATTTCTAAGTCAGTCATGTGAAGATAAAGTTAGTTCAGATGTTTATTTGCGATCAGCGTCGTTGGACATGAGGTCAGCTGAACTGGGACACGCCACACTGCGGCTCGTCCACCCACCGCATTTTGCTATGCAATAAGTTCCCAGTGTTGTGTCCAGGCAAACACAAATGTTATCTGACCCAGTTGGTGTGATAAGGGCAACAGGATGTGCACATTTGAATATTTCTCTTTTGTCTCCCCTGCCCACCTACGTAAAAATATTCATACACACACAAACACACACGCACGCAGCAGGTAAAAAGCCACTGAATTACACATTTGTTGCTGCTGGCCCTGTTTTCTGACAAACGGAGGCCAGTAATGTTGGAATTACGTAACGCCTTTTCACTATGTATGCTCTGTTCTTTTTTAACAGCACAGAAAACGCACAAAATAAAGGTGATTATATAAGTGTAACTGCTTGGCATTAAGCGGACGCCCAGATTCACCTGGCCGTCCCACAATAAAGCCAGCCTCGATTGTTCTGACCCGCAGAGTGGCGACTGGCATTTCAGTCAGATCTGGGAGCCAATCGCGACTTTAACAATGTTGTTTACGCCGCTTTACTGTTCTATACGACATTAAAAAAGTGGCCAGTAAAGCAGCATCCTGACTCCAATTAAACTGGAAAGTTGCCTTTGCTCCTGTGCCATGCAGTTCATATCTGGAGGTCACTTGTTTAATGAAGAACATGTCCTGAATGGCCTATGCTTGAATGTCGCAGGACCTGAAAAAAACCCTTCAGATGAAGCGCACGCTCACACCGAGTAGAACCAAGCGGTGGATTGATAATCCGGTAAATGGAAGCCCATTTGCTGACGGATTTTAGAGGAATGGGCTGCCAACCTGTGATGATCAGAGACACGATTACTTTGTATCAAATGTGGCTACACAAGCATGTGAAGTCAAAAGGAGCACAAAAGAATATTTCACGTCATAATTTCTTCACAAACGAGAATATAATGGACATGAACCATCAAGCACTCTGTCAAGTGTTGCCTCGCAATACTGGCTTTAACATAAAAATTCTTGAATTCAAGTGTCCAAACTTTAATTTGATAAATGTTACATTTTGTCCATCTTCTTTTTCACAAAACTGATTTTTTTTCTCCATAATATTCTGAGTTAAAGTCACACTTTTATTTCTGAATTCTGACTTTATTAAATTTCTAATTTTTATATCAGAATTGTAATTTTATTTTTCTCAGAATTTATACTTTTTCCCATCTTAGATATCAGACTTTTTTCACACAATTCTGGGGTTGAAGTAAACTTTAATCTCCAAATTCAGAGTTTAATTTCAGAATTGTGTCTTTAATGTCATTTTTTTAACTTACATATCAGAATTTATGAATCTCTCCCACTTTGGTCCCTGACCTACAATCTACATCTCAAGAATTAGCTGCAGCCATTGCTGCAGCGCTCGCGTTTGTTTGCAATAATGCCAGAATGTTTTCAGCAGGACAAGACAGAAAGTCATCACAATGAGCAAGGACTCACACTGAACGCACTGACATGCATTTGTCTAACTAAAACAAATGAGATTTTCTTAGAATAGAAAGAAGCTAATTAGCAATTGGGAAAAAAATGGAACACATAAATAATAGCAGGGAGAATAATAAGTGAAAGTATCTTCCAAAATCAAGCTGGAAATAAATATTAGAGCTCTTAAGGAATGCAGTTAATTATTATCCACTTTTGTTTTGTTAATGTTGATTAAAAATGGAGACTATGGAGATTATTGTAGTAGTTTTTAAATAAAATAAAAAGTTAAAATAGTTAAAATCTTCATTTTTCTAAGGAGTGAAAGTTAGTGATAGATGGAAGTCCACTGTGTTAGTTATGATATCACTTCTAAAAGTTGTGCTACAGAACGTTGCACTGCTTTCACTTAGCTCACATGTGCACCATCAGGTCCATATGGATATTTTTCATATAAATATGTGTGCCATTACTCTCTACATTTACTGTCATAAACGACTTGAAATTTACCTAAAAACGTCCCAGTGAAGCCCAGAGCGAGAAAACTGCTGACCACCAGAACCGTTCCCATCACTATTAAGGCGATCCCGACGTAGAAAACATCCGTCCGCTCCATCAGCTCCCATCTGGCCTGGGTCTTCATCACCACTGTCATACTGCACAGCAACAAAGATGAGGCATAACTTTACTTACTGTTCTACACTGACACAGCGTACAATATTTTAGTCTCCTCTGTTGAATATTAAAAGAAATGATCAGTCAGGTGAAACTGAAAAAAAAGGAATGTTATGCAATTTGGTGTGGACCAAATAAAACAGTTTACAAAACTTACAAAAGACAATCAGAGAATGCAAATGAAGCATCACAATAATATCTTCAATTTAAGAACTGATCGTCACGATTGTCCATTGAAGCAAAAACGAAACCCAGTGGGTGAAGAGAAGCAGCTCTGTCGTCGATTGCTGTTTGTTGGTGTTGCTTGTGCATCAGATTTACAGCCACACCAGAAACGCGCAACTACAAAGGTTCTGGTTAGATCCTTTGTATGTAAAATAAATAAATAAAATAATAATAAATGCATTAAAATTTTCATGTGGTAATGTGATATAATTACAAAGTAGACTTTGGGGTTAGAGCAAGAAGATATAAGACAGAGTTACACCCAAGCTATCCTTGTTTGGCTGTTTTCTGGTTAATATATCCAAAGTTTGCTTTCATAAAAAACCCACGCACATCTTCTGATTCTGACTGAAACACATGAGCAGGTGCGATCACGTCAGATTCATCATCTACAAAATAGCATGGCTTAGTTCAAAGGATCAACAACGCAACGCGAAATCATGAATGTATTCATTTGAAGAGCTTTCTTCAATTGAATACTGCTGATGCCAAGATCGATCCCCAGTGGTTATGGTGAAATATAACTAACCAAACGAATAAAAATCAGCAAACTAATCAAACATGGAACCAGCTGCTAAGTTATTGCTAGTCCAATGTAATATCATTGGACTAGCAGTTAGCAGTTGTGAAAATTAAGGAGAAGATGACGAGTGTGTTAAAAGACAACGGGCTTATTAAGGTACTTTTAAGATTTCTAATAGAAGTGGTTTGGTTCCATTTGTAATTTGCAAAAATAAGCAGAAAGCCATCCGCCTAATTTTCTTTACTTTTATCATTTTTATTTTATATGCAAAAAGTGTTTCATACATTATGACTCATGTTTTTCGTAGTAGCTTGCACTTCGTATGCAATATTGCTGGAGCACTCAATTTTCCTGGGGTCATAAACACTATTTTCATACCATAGCCACTCAGTGTCTTTGTCACCAGTGAAGTACTCGCAGTCATGACCAGAAATTTATATCAACTAGTTTCAACAGTGTTACACTGAGAAGCAGCTTGCATCATAAACTGAGCAGATGTGCAATTACAGCAGGTGTTTGTTAATTGTTGCTCGCTAGTCTGAAGGAGCTGACTGAGGTGGGGATTCAAGAATTACTCAAATATCCACAAAAGAATTAAAGCAACATTGCAGGTACATTTTTGATGACATCACTGCGAGTACTTTCAAAACTCAAAACAGTCAATTTTGCATGATACTGCCTCTTTAAAGACCCTCAGAAATGAAGCGGGTGCACCTTGTTCCATTACTGCATATCCACTCAATTAACACCCACCTCTAAAATAGTTAATTGACATGAGACTGAACACCACATAAGCACTGCAGATCAAACACACGCCGTTTCTTCTTAACTGAGCAAGTGAAATCTGTCTATTTGATGCACAGAACAACAAACCAGTTGCACACCTGCAGCAGGTGTACACCCTGCCAAAAGATCAGAGCTATATTTCCACTGTCTCCTCTTAATGCATGTTCTGTTTTGTGCACGAAAGTGTGTTCGCTGAATTCAGAGGGAAAAAGAGAGTGCTTGTTTACTAGAGTGCATTTTAAAGTTGCCTGACGTCACCCTTAATTGCTCACTGTGGATGATGAGAGGGTCATGGATTGTGTAAGTGCAGTCATACAGTGAAAGCATTTTCATTTTCTGTCTGGTGCTCGGATCGAAAGCGCACAGAGGGGCCGGTGACTGCTTTAAAAGGTGCTCCGTTTGGTTTTGGTGATGCCTTTTTGAAAACATGTTGCCTCCGAACGTATTAAGCACTAGACTCTGGAGGATTTGCCGCTGGGATTCAGTTTGTTTTGGAGCTCAGAGCAACACAACACTGTAGTGATGAAGAAATTTTGAAGTAACTGAGAAGATGTGCATTTCTTAGTCGGCTGTATGATAGTTGCATAGAAAAGTGCAAGACACAAAATTAATCCATTTCCAATGCTTTAGCCAAATGTATTTTTGTTTGAGTTCAATTAAACGGACAAACCGCACAATAAATTTCATATCATCCTGGTCTGAACAAATGGGTGGCAGTACATGGCTGGTGGATGAGTTTCTAAGTGTGACAAACGAAGGTGCCATAAATATCTCATATTGCTTTCCCCCATAACCCCTTCTTACTTTCATCCCTTGGTCTACTGATAGTGTCTCACCAAACAAACCACCAGATTTTATTACAACTTTTCAGATATTCTCCTCAATATCTTGAATCAACGTAATTCAATACTTTTATTCTAAATACACTCTGTTTCACTTTCTACTTGGTTTAAAGTGTCTCTCGCTTTATCAGCTGTATGTGATCAATTGTTGCTTATTTATGTCGACACTTTGATAAGCTTTTCTGAATCTGCTTTACAAACGTTAAGTAGCCCGCCGCTTTTAGATTACGCAAACTGAACAGGTTGCACAGTTGCGAGTCCACATTCATATGTGGGGAGCAGTGAGCAGCATTTTCCTCTGGAGCCTAAAATGGCTCCCGAGTGAAAACTAGGTTTGGGGTTAATTGGAGAAAACTGGGTCATGGGGCCTGTTCTGTGACTCTTATGGCATGCTTCCTTTGTTGAAGGTGACCAGGAAGTGAAATGTGAAGTGGTGCAGGTTGTTGTGCCACGTCAGACACAAAGAGCCACTGCTGGGCAGGCTGTTGAATAACACGTTCTGGACAGGTGCACTGCTGGGATTTGGATTAGAAAAGAGTCAGGAGGAAAACGGGTCTGGTAGGACGGGGCGGCGGGCAGGTGGGCAGCGGTTGTAAATAGATGAACCACCATAACAGCGGACAATGAGTCGGTTATAATGTAAGAAAATTTCAGACAAATATTCATGTAACCATGTTGACAAACAAGGCTACACATATTCAATGCTGTTTTTGAACCATTCCGGAAAAGAATGGGTCAAAAAGAGGAGAGAGATAGAGAGGAAAATAAATGTAGAAATAAATAGAAGGGAGGGAAAGGAGGAGGCGTGTGAAGCGAGAACTTACTCACTTTGGTTTGCGAGTGAGTTCTCTTTAAAAGATAAAGGACAAAAGGAAAGTTGTGTTTCTGTGGTTTCACAGAAACATTTTCTGTCTTTTCAAGGTTTCAACAACCAGTCTGGAAAGCCTCCAGACTCAATTTCTTTGGCTGGAAATGGGGACCAACTTTGAAATAAAAAAAAACATTCAAATATCAAATTGAATTTTACCATTTCAATTACAGTGCTACGGTGAATATTTGTCCTCTTTAAGATTTTTGTCCTTTTTTCCTTTGTATCTAAATGTTTCAGGTCATCAACCTACTTTTAGTTTCAGACAGAAATAGGCTGAGTAGAAAAAGATTATTAATACGAAATAGAAACATTCACTCAATTTTACCTGTAGATTAAAAAAAACTAAACTTATGTAGCTTGAGGTTGTATAAAAAGAAAGTATGCTTAAAGACAACACATTATTCCCCAACTTAAGGAGCATCAAAAACAGTTAAGAGAGAAAGTTACTGATATCTGTCAGTTCTAGAAAACAGCAAAAAGGCTTTAGGTGATCAGAAAATCTTCATCCACCAATAAACAAAACAGGAAACGGTGGTGAAAGAATCCAGCTTACCCAAAAATACTCAGAGAGAGCGCAAACAATTACATGATTTAACCACAAGGAGACATCAACGGGAGAATTACCAGAAATAAAAAAATAAATTTGTATTCATTTGAAGAAATAAGCAGTCTGATCATCCTCTCCTCATGTGTGCTAATGAGACCAAAGTGAACCTTTCTAGTGGTTTTGGAACAGAAAATCTACCAAATGTCAAACATGATGGTGGTGATGTGATGCTCAGATGAGGCTTTAATGGGTAACTTTGTTGTTAAATTTAATTCTCTACTAAACATTTTGATGAAGAACATCCAGTCAATCAGTTTGTGATCTTAAGCTTAAGCACATTTGTGTTACACAGCTTGAAAGAGATTTATAGCAGAACATCAAGTCGACCTCAGAAAGGCTGAAAATAAATCACCTAAAACAGGTTTCAAAATCACTCCAATGTGGGAAAAAAATTCTCTATAGTGATGTAAAATATTCCTTATAATTCACTGCAAATACTTGATGGCAGTTGGTGGTTGTGCCAAACCATCTATTGGATGCAATTTGTTTTCACCAAGGGCCAGGTTGGTTTGGATCGTTATTTTCAGTTGATAAATTAAATTATTCTAAACTTGCCTTTTGCATCCCCTTGTGTGTTTGCATGTTTGTTTGAAATAAAGTTTTGTTTTGATGATCTGAAAAATTCAGGTTTCACAAAAAAATTGGCAAAAACATATAGACGTCTGACAGGGCCGATGTCTTAGCCCCTTACTAATTTCTCCCTCAGTTTCTCCTCTTTGCAGAATGAAAATACACAAAAAACTCAGTTTTCTAGTATGAAAAACAATTTTGCAGAAATCAACAATAAGCCGTTATTCTCTCTCAGCAGAGGCAAAATATGTAACTGTAGCAAAGAATCAGGTCGTAGTGGTTGGGCTTGGGAACATCCAATATGATGCAGAAATGGACAGACCGTGACCTACATTCTCTATCCCTGTGAGGCAAGAACTTTACTGATGCCAGTTTACAATCGGACAAAAAAACCCATGGCAAGTTTTTTTTTTTCTTTGTCATATTAGGACTGGAACATAAGCAAAAAAGAGATTATTCAACCCTCAACTCATTGCACTCCATCCTATTGCTGTCAATCATCTAGACGGTTCAGAGTCCATTGACTTCAGTCAAAACTCAGAAAGGCATTGCCAGACTCAATTACAGGCCAGGACAAATCCAATGGAAGGAAAAACACACCCATTTTTCTATTAAATTAGCATCTTCTAACTATTGTCCAAAGTGATGTGATTGAAAACAGCCTTGGTTCTGTCCACTCTCTGAGGATGTAACCTCAGAATCTACCTTTCCTGTGGAGTCCATGGACCTCGAGCAGCTGTTGTAGTGAACTGTACTATAAATAACTAACTACACAAAGACTGCTGAGTACTCATAATGGGAATACTGAATTTAGACCAAAACCAGCAGCAGCTTAACTGTTCAATATTTCATATTAAATGAACATTAAAGTCCATTTATCATCTGGTTAAACGGACTTAAACGGCAAGATTTCAAAACTGATTTTCAAAAACTGAGACCACAGAAATTAAGATAAAAAAAATCAGTGTGAGGTGTTGAGCTAAACAGCAGGAGCAACACACCACTCACCAACATCTAGATGTCAGATGGAAAATCTCTCAAGACCAAACGTGACTTCATAGTAAATAAACAAGAAGACAGTTAGAGTTAGTGGACTATACTTAACAAAAAAACAGAAAAAGACGTTTCGACATCCACCAAACATTCTGGTGTACAGTGACAGCTGTTTTGTCTTCTGTGTATTTAAAAGTCCCTTCTGTGTTTTTCTGGCCTTCAGTACTGATTGGCTACTTCACATTCAACAGGCTGTGTTCATGGACGTATCCGGTGGACGTCTGCTTCGAGTACGCGTGGACATCCGAGGCCAAGGATGTTGGGGCCTTAAGTCTCACTGACCACAAAAACGGCTCACCCTCTTTTCCGCAGACACAGAAACACGCAATGATCAGCAGATTGCAGTACACTGTGGACCAGCATCTCGTTTCCACCACTGATCTTCACGTCGCCAGAATCTTGTGTAATGCCCGCCACACTAATGCGTATCTGCCTTATGTTTCAATGGCGCTCTAAGAACTCCTACATCCCCTTACAGCACAGCAGTTTACACACTTTGATTTCAAGACTAATCAGAATGCATAAGATTTGCATAAGGACATAAGATTTGAAATGACAAACATTCTCTCCACTGCAATCAAATCAGTACTTTGGATAAAACATGCTTTAAATATCTATGCAGTATAAATAGATAAAAGGCAACCAATTTACAATCTATTTCCATTTTTATGAGTTCTTTTTTTAAGCACAGCATTTGCAAACAACAGTCGATGAAAGGGTATTCTATGTTTGTATTTAGTGCTACTAAATGTGGCACCGCCTATATTACAGATTTGATTAGGGCTGTTAATAAAAGCATTGAGTAAGTTCCTCTCCCTGAAGCCTCATAATTACACTAATGAGAGGCAATGGTGAAGCATAAACAATGGAAAATTTCTGCTTTTGGCTAAGCAGGGTACAATGTATTTAGTCTCACTGACTATATTTATCTGACCCATAGTTAAGCAGTTACTTCGACATTTGAATGATTTTACTAAATAATTCCATTGATCAGATAGGTGAATGAACCTGATTTCAATGTTTTGACTGTATGGTAATTTTACATTGTAATCAAAAGAACCCAGTCCTTTCAGTTACACAGAAGTTCTCCCTCAAACTACTGACTTTGAAAGAGCCTCAAAGCCTTATTCATTTGAAGTAAGAAGCACTGCCTTCCACAAGCTTCACAGACTACTGGAGAGTTGTGGAGTTTGCAGGTATTTTGGTTCACTCCTACAGAATTGTGTAACTGATTCACATTTGTACATCACCTTCCTCGCATAAACCTTTTCATCTCTGCTCACAAAATTTCTATGCCACTGATATGTGAGTTTCTGTAAGACAAAACATTAGGGTTAGACATGTGAAGAAACATAGCAGTTCTGTTGTTTTTTTGTTTTTTTTTGGAGCTATACTCAATTTTTTTTAAGGAAGGAATGATGGAAAGAAGGAAGGAATGAAGGACGTGGCTCGCTTTGGCATAAGTCCTTCAACAGATAGCAGTTTACTGGATCATTCAATTAGTCATCAAAGCTTGACAATACACACTGACTAAAAATAAATAAACTGGTTCATCACACTTAAACAAGAAATGCATTCTTGAAAAGAAAAACATTTTCAGAGGAAAGGAAACAAAACCACATCCGAAATGAAAAAATCCATTGAAATTGAAAGACCGGAGAGGAATGTGTCAGTAATAGTAAAAGGACGTGAATTACCTCACAGAGAAAAGAATGAACACAGTACTGACTCACACTGGGAAATGCAGGCCCTTGAGGGTTAAAACATAACGGCTGCTGTAAAAGCAGCAACTGTCGTAGCTCAGATTGGATTGCTCATATACTTCTTGTAAAACTTTGCACATGTGGCATTTGGTTAAGCAGATGGAGGCACAATCTGCACATCTTCTGTCAGTGTGATTAAGTATCAATGTAGTGCTTCCTCAGAAAAGATTTCTTCTCCTGTGCTCAAAGCACAAAGTGAATTTCTACAAAACAAGGGTAATTGAATAAAACTATTTAACATAAAATAACCAACTTCATGAATATTCATCCTACTCGTCTCCCAAATGAGTCACTTGAGTGCTGCGAGTGTGTCTGTAGTGAGTGTGGAGTAGCGAAGTGCTAGTTTGTTTCAAACCACTGATAAACAGCAGTTTATCAGTATTTCATTACTGATTAATATCAGTTATTAGCCACAACAGCATTATTAATATTGTATCCCATTATTGCTCTAAACTTTTATATCTCTAAATTTGTAACCATACTCCATAAACGTTTTGTGAATAGGTCCTTAATGCTTTTTAAATTACCAAACATGCGTTCGACATTATCAGGCACTGAAGTGATAATAATTTGCATTACTATACATTATACTCCATTACACAGTAATAATGGGGCATTTTAGGGTAATCACTTTTTAGCAATGTGGTCTGAAAACATAATTGGTCAATTTTTGTAAGCGAGGTCCTGGCAATATTTCCCTTACACATGAATTGTGTCTGAAAAAAAATAGAAAAACTATAAGTCGTCTCAGATAACTGGATGGAAAAGCTATTCTCTTCGCTCGTGCTTTTTGTCCTTGAACATGTGAATGTAATGTAACATGTGAATGAACATGTAATTGTTACATTTATCTATATTTAGTTTGACTGTGGGCAGGATGATTCCCTTGAGAAGCAAAATAAAACTGCAAGGATAATAAATGAAAAGCCTGTTATTTCTCAACAGTATGCTGTCAAACATTTTGCAGAGGAATACTGTGTATGCATTATTCCCCTGCAAGATTGTTTTCTGTATCAATATTCAAATAGTGGAGAACTTGCAAATGAGAAAGGTATTTATTGTGCTATTGTGATTGTCAGGCAAAGTAAACTCTTCAAATACTGAAAAAGACGTGAAGCATTTCTATGAGCAGGCTTCTCGTTGAGATCTACAGCTCTCTGACTGGTCAATGACACACGATTGGCTTAGAAATACTTCCATGATGATTTTAGCTTTTTTATTAACAGACATGTCCCTCTTCACAATATAGGATATAGATAACCCCCAGTTTACTGCTGAGCTGTGTAGTCTTTGAAAAAGTCAAGATAACACTCGGCATTCTACATCACAGAGTGACCAGCTGGTGTTCAAACATCTTACAAAGTGCTTTACCTCCCTTGTTAAAAAGAATAAATTGCAGCTTTATGTTGAGAAAACTACATCGAAACTGAAATGACTCCAAGAAATTATAGAGATTGATTAAATCCTTATTTGGAGATGAAATGACCTGTGAAATGCCTACTTATGTTGTCAAGGATGCACAAAACATCACAATTGCACAGTTTGAAAATAAATTGGCATTTATTTAGAAAATAAATTTGCTAAATGGAAACATGGCAATTTAATAAAAAAAAAAAACTTGTTTCTTGATAAAAATGTTTTGGCGCTGGGATGAAATGTGTTTTTGGCCTTAATGAAATTGGTTTATTTTTGCAAAATGTATGAATGTGTGTGCGAATGAGTAAAAGGCTGAATGTATTGTGAAGCATTTAGACCATAACGGATGTGTTGTTGAATTTTGGTTGCTACAACGACCAAATATACCAAATTTTGTGATTACTCTCGTATCTTATTGAATTTTGATAGTTAATCGCGTAACTTTTCAGTGGAAAATCTTGATCGTTTTTCTTCTTCTATGTTTTACCTGTGGCTCCGGAAAACGTTGAGCAGAATGATGACGAGTCCCAGAGCGCAACAAGCCACGTAGGGGCCACCAAAGAGCCTGGAGAGTCCCCGAGTACGATGCTCCCATCGGGCCACCTGCAAAGCAAAAAGATCATCAGCAGACAGCACTTACCTTCAGGTCAGTCATTTTTCCCAAAGTTTGTTTACTGCTGATAATGTCAGTAATATCCTCTACTAAGCTTTTGCAGTCTATATAATTAAAAAAATTTAAATTTATAAATCACAATGTTAAGTGTCTGCTCTGGATTACTTTTGATTTGAGCCTATTGTAATCAAACGTAAGTAAGACCTTGACACATTTAAGGCAATTATATGTGTGTGTGTGTGTGGGTGTGTGCGTGTGTGTGCACTCGACTTTTATTTTACCAGTGTAAATTTTAAATTAAATAACTTAAGACTATTAAGCCTGACTATTTCATTGCATTTCTTTCCAATTTTTTGTGCGTAGGCTGCAGAAACAAACGATCAAGGACAGAAACCTCAATATTTCTCCCAAGAAAAATATTCCAGCCCACTGAAAAAGTGGCAGTCTAAGCAGGAAAAAAAATAAAAAGCTTTGGTAAGTTGAGTTTTTTTGTGTGTTTTTTATTTTTGGCACCTGCACATTAAGCAGCACATACATGAACACAAAGTTAATTGACAGCACTAAGACTTTAATCCCGGCTCTGATTGGCTGGTTTTTTACCAGAAGCAATGCGGATTGCAATAGTGGAGGAGTTCGATTTTCTCACATTTTATCTGTCTTATATTGACTACTTTGTCATGATACAGTGGCAGTTGTAACATGTGAAAACATATTTTCTTAAAGTGACAAATTGCAGTCTTAATACACACGGTGGAAACTGTGACACTACAAGTGCCAACAGTCAGGCTGATGGGACTGCACCCAATCAATGAAACACCTTATAAACACCTTGTCAGTGTTTACAAGGCTGGATTGGCTGTAAAAAAAACAACCAATAGTGTGCAAAGCAGCATTGCTACATTTTCTTTTGTACATTTTAGATATGCTCTGAAGGAAAATCTTCAAAAAGTCAGAATTTTCCACCGATTATTTGGCGTTACGTCTCACAGACAATGACTAAGCAAAGTCCAGTCTATTGACCGTTTTGATCTTTCGAGTTGAGTTCTTTCCACTAAGAAAATGTCCCTCTTCACCAATAAATCATCAATAATTCCACTGTTTCTAAATCGACAAAAGAAGTTTACTTTCTGCACAGACTATTAATCAATAGCTAGACCTATCAAGGCAGGATTTAGGGCTGTGATGTCATCAACATTCTTGTTTATGAATCCTGCTGGTTCCTTCATGACAGTCCGTCACAGCACACTAATTTACAGAAAGCTAATTCTATCAGCTCTGCTGAATGAAATGTATTTACTTGACCTGTTATAGCCAGGAGCTCTTTAAGAAATGACAAAAGTCAAATTATTTTCAAACTGTGGGCTGAAGAAGTACGTAGATGCGAATCAGACAAAGCAGACAGAATAAAACTGTTTCTATGGTAACATCTTTTCTAAGTTTAGAGATATTCAGGCTAGAAAACAACATGAAAAACAGGTAAAAGTTGGAGGAGACAACTTTTACACAATAAGAAAGTAATTAATTTAGAATCACCAAACAACAAGTGACGGAACGAAGCCTCCAGCTTCCTTTATGTTCTCTTTTAATCATGGCCACCAGCCAACTCCAGATCATTGTTCTCTAACCTTTCCTTTCCTTACAGCAGAATTTGGATATATAATTAGGCCTCAAAGCTTGAGAAAGCCCGTTTGGTGTGGACTCATGCTTCACAGCCACATGCTGATTACATCAGTCTGCTCTGTGGGGCACTGAGACACCACAAAGCACAACAAAGGCGATTATAAAAGAGGGAAGAATTAATGACTAGTCTTTCCAGACAGCACGTTTGGGGAAAGTCACATTTATGATGCCAATAAAAAAAACAAAACAACAGAATATGATTCTTCAGGTGGCGTGTATTATAACGTCGCTGTGTGGCATTTTAGGCCTGGAGGCATTATGTAACGGCATTCTTTTATGTTGAACGACAAAAGGTTTTGGCACCGAGACTGGAACATAGAAGAACTGATTAAACATCTCGATGAAAAGCTCACACACACATACACACACAAACTGACGACTGACTCGAACATGTCAGAGAAGCCCTAGTGTTGCCATATGCTAATAGTATGTATGTAGTTAGCTCCTCCAGGCTAATAAGGGTAAGGTCACAAGTGCATGTTTACTGGATTTTGCAAACCAGAGTTTAATCATTTTTACAACAAGAGAAGTAATAAAGAAGTCAAAATAGCCTCATGTTGACATTGGTGAACATGAAAGTAAACAGTGCTTCTAAAACTAATAAAGCAATTAATCCAGAATTAAACATACATAGCTTTTTTCCACTATCACTCCACTAACCAGGAAATGAATACAAAATGCTTCAGTATAACTGCAATATTATATTACTGCTGATTAGCACAGCAACAGGTAAAAATGGCAACCACTTCATGACCATGGGCGCCGTGTAGGGGGGAAAGTTAGGACGACTCCAAGGGTCCTGGACCGACAGGCGGCCCTCCACAAAATAGTTTTTTCTAGTTGTTTATAGAAATTGGGGGCCCTGTTAATAACAAAATTAATCATATTGTGTTTTTCTTTATTTATTGCTTTTAGCACTAAATAGCATACATTCATATTTGCCCAGTCAGAAATAGACTTCACTCAAAGGCCTGCAGATATTGACTGCTATCAGAAATCCGTCCCATTCAAAGAAACCTTTAGAAGACATTTAAATAATAAGATAAGAGTCACAACCGCATTTACTTTCCCTTTTAGATAAATAAAATATCTATTTCTGAATCAAAGTTAGTGTTGATTTCCATGAGTTTGTCGTGTGCAAAAGGTCTGGACTTAGACTTGAAGCAAATGCCTCACTGAAAAAGATGCAGGTTACTGTTGGAGACAAAAGAAAAAAATCTTCATCTGAACAGCCTGTTGTTTTGGACCACTTATAACCAGAACAACAGCCCAATCAGGACAGCAATGACTCACATAAACACATCACATGGATCTTACTAATATGCGGTTGTTGAACTTAAAACAAAAATTCAGTTTTATAAATGAGTCTCTTTTGTCTGAACAAAATTGTTTGGTTGTTTTAAGATGGAAACAGCAGTGTGTGGAAGGATTCTTGGTTCCCAAGGGCAAAAACAACACAGTGTATAAAAGCACACATTTTCTTCTGCTCATGTTTTATGTTTATTAGCAGGCATGCTATTTTTTTCACATGTCAAAATAGCTGCATAAATGCACCACTTATCAGTTCCACTTATCCAGAGCACACACAAGCTGATGTTCTGCATGGTTAAAGAACATAATCCTACTGACGAAATTAAACGAAAGCTACAAAGACACCCCAATTGTGCGACAGAGCTCTCCTCAATATTAAGAGGATAACATCGAGGGTGAAACATAAAGCCTTTTGTCTTTGGCAGATATCTTTGAACTCTAGCAAAGACCACAGCAGCAGGATGAAAAGCGATTCAACAAACTGAAATCTGACTGAAACTGAAATTGGACAGAAGCTATCCCGTTATTTTCTCATCTCTCTTTAAGAGCCACACAAGACGATTTCCGCGCAGCCTCATCTTCAAACCTGAGAACACGGCAGGAGTCACACCAGGCACCCTCAGCCAAAGTTACTGCGGGGTGGCATTTGTGGCCAGAATGCCTCTTCTCAGAGATAAAATGGCGGATTCATCCATCATCAGTCAGAAATCATTTGCAGCCACTCCAGTGGTCGGTGGAGTGTGCTAAAAATACTCAGGTGTTCCATGGACAGAAAGCAGATGATGTGATTGAAACAATCTGGAAGAGTAACACAAGGCCTGGGCAGGGAGAGCACAGGGTCTGGCGCCAGAATGGCAGAACTGGGAGCCCTTGGAGACTAATTCAATAGAAGCTTTAACAAGCTCCTCTTGTACCATCAGCCCACTTCTGTCTCACATCCAGGTGCTCCAAACACATCTGTTATGTGCGGCAAAATGTCAGAAATAGAGAAAACAGAGCTCAAGTCTCAGCCCAGACATTGTTTACACCAAAAAAAGATAAGAAAAAAAATACACACATTATTGAACCCCAAGTAGAAGCTATGTAATATAAAAAAGAAAAAAAAAGTGTGACTGTGGGTTTTTTTAAGCAACGTTAGCTAATTTGCGGAGCCCCAGGGGACCCAACAGTGGACTATGATGATTCTCTCTGCCTGATCAGCAGCTGATGGTTCATTGACTGTATTAATGTGCGGCCGTGTTTGATGGAGAACACTTTGCACACAGGCACAGCCGAGTAATACGGGTAATAAGGGAACGAGAACAAGAACATGGATGGATCACATGCTTACATGCATTAATATCACTTTAATAATAATGCATCTTGGGTTCAACGGATAATTTCTCATCTACCGAGTTCAAGAAAAACAGTCTACCAAGAACTGACAATGACTAAATCGCTGAGTCCTCAAGTTGTCCAAGTTGGCTTTCTCTTCCTCTCTTCTTGCTTTCCCACCACTTTTTCTGACAGAAGTCTCTTCCTACTTTTACATGAGATCGTTGCCCAGAACGTGCTGGTACTTTCAGATGTTAATTGGGAAAAGGTTCCATATTTAGACTGGGCCGCCGTTTGAGTCACATATCATACCAGGCCACTAGATGGTGCTGTGATTTTACCATGTCATCAAATCTGTATGCTTTTGACCCATAAATTCCACCTCATTGTAAACAGTAACTTGTCTCCGACTCCCATGAAAAAAGGGCTCTTGTACTTACTTTACTTAATTTACTTATCAGAAATTGTGCTAAACTGAACAGGATAAGTAGCACAACGCTATCCGCCACTGTTTTTTGTTGCTGGCTGCCAGTTCGCATGTAGAATAAACCCTACAGCCGTGTTTTCTGCACTTTCACACCTGCGGGATACTTCACTTACAGAAACCTTTCCCCCTGACACCTGGCGGCGAAAACGAGCTATTGGATCGCAACAAAAATGTTCCAGTTTACCTGAAGAGCGCCGG